ATTTGGTACTGGCCGCCGCCTACTGGAGGAGGAAGGTTGAGTTTTGAGCTGTGCGTTTGAATTCAATGCAGTCTGAGTGAGTTTATCCACATTCAATTGTGTCACACGGGTGGCCATAATTGGTGTCTGTACAACATCTTCCACATCAAAATGAAGACGGCCTAGCGATGTTTCGTCGTTACTTTTCTCCCCCGCTTCTTCCAAAAGAGCGTCGCAGCTCGTCTCCACATCCCTCTCATCTTCCCTATTTTCTTCCTTTTTGTTTTCTTCTTCTGCTCCTTTCTCTTCAACTTCATTTTCACTTTCCGCGCTGTAGTTCATCTTCTCCTCCCTTTCAACTTCATCCGTTACCTCCTCAATCGCATCCAATTCCGGCTCAAAGGAAAGGAGACAAAACATACGGGATGATGTAGTGTTTTGCGAACGTTGTACTGCCAATAGCATATAGCTGAAAAACTCACAACCTCGCGACTCCTCCAATGCGTCTTCTGCAGTTGCGGTGCCGCACATAGACCCAACGTTAGATCCCACATGACGCACTTCCGTGATATAAGCATTGATCAACATGCGGTTTTTGATCGGGATAAGTACATATCTACATGCAGGATATTCGGTTAATCGTATAAGAGTTGTCTAATGGTTAGCATGAATAAAAGAAACAAGATAACCGCAGAGACCCATGTATGTTTTACTCACCTTTTGGAGTCCAACTCGATATAGGTTTTATTTGTATTTCCTTTGCTTTGTATTGCCGAGACTATATGCTTCTTATTTCACCCAGTCCTGGATGAAGGAGTTTTGGCGTGCTGATCTAGGACCCTACGTGGGGTGCTACCTTAATTTCATTAAACATCATTTAGATAAGTGAGACAGGTAGTCTTCTTGGGTAATTCACGAAAATTGCTGAATGACATACCTAATTAAATTTAACTAAATTTGCACCCAATGTGAAATTCTAACTAAGCCGGCTACGGCGTGCGATGCTTTCAATTGTGCTATTCGAGCACTGGTTAAGTATCCCAATGAGGAGCCCTATCGCTCACCATGTTTTGGAACGAATTAATTTTATCTGGCAAACGTAGTTGTAGTATTGTACCCCATAGCTCCCTAGGGCCAGCATTTTATCTGACGGAAACGGTAGTTGTAAGGGTTTTGGGGTTGGAGAAATAGGATAGGCATTTTTTAGAAGTGCAATG